CAAACAACTGTACCCAAAATATATTTTTAAAGTATAAAACAATAATTTGACAACGATTTATGGCTTTATCATATTATAATAAAACATGACTAGTAACAATATCTGAGTCGCTCTTTTTAGGTTGAAACACAGGATTTGGCACCTGTATAAAAGGTCATTGAACTATTTTAGTATTGGAAAACCCTATTTTTATCGTCCGACATTTTGAATAAATCTTTTGACTTGACTTGACTTTTATTGCATCATTATCTATATCACATTCTTTACTGGAAAGTCATTCTCCTTTTGTATCATATGCATTACCATACAGCACAACATGATGCAGCTCGCTTGTACTATCAAATTCGTCAAATTCTTTCATTCACACTTCAGTATCTACATGTCTCTAAACGTGTTGGTGCTACACAACATTTAAATTTTCCCTTATACTGATCTATGTGAAGATGACATTACATTTACAATATATGACTTAGTATTAGAATACATAAACAACCCTATATTATCAGTTTGTGCTGTAACTATATATCAGATAACAAAAACAAACAAGTGTATCAGCTTCAACGACACTTGCCCTTTCCTTATCTTCTTTCAAGTGTCTTTTGAATAGAAACATTAGAAAGTGTCCAAAATATTTCTACACAGGTGTTAGAAAATGGCAAATATACCATGCACGTCTACGGACAGAGTGTAGTTCTCTTAACCACTATCTTTTCAGAAAAAATATTGTAAACACACCTCTATGCCAATGTGGACTTCCAGAAACTAACCATCATTTTTTCTTTGAATGCAAACAATACATTACTATCAGAGACATCCTTTTCCAAACACTTTCAGATTACTGTAATGTAACTATCCACACATTACTTTACTTAACGGCGACACAAACATAAGTGACGACATCAACATCAGTATATTTCAGGCAGTTCAGATATATATCCGAGATAGTAAACGATTTCCATAGTCTATGCTACATCCACTGCTCCTCCACTTTACTTACCGAATAGATTTTCCTCTTTCTCTTTTCCACTTTTTATTACGTTATGTTTCTTTTCTATCTCAAGCTATATAAGTCTAAAACTGAATACATTTATTAACAAGACAATTATTGCATTATATCTATTCAGTCCCTGTTTCTACTCCTTTCAGGTATAAACACCTACTATATGTTTTTGTTTCGTAGGTCCTTATCTCATCTTTTTTACTTTTTCATGTTTCTTTAATCTACTAGTTTTAATAATTATTTTCTCTTCTTATTCAATATTTCAAACATTTTCAAACCCGTCTTATTTATTGTAATTAATTCTTTGTTAAAAAAGGCCTTTATAAGCATTTTATGCTTTCGGATCTGATCCTTTTTCAGCATTGTATTATGTTATTCATTATTGTATAATAATTTTGTCTGTACAAAATGTTCGAAATAAAATATGTTTAAACCAACTAAACCCCAACGTCTGTAAAGGCCTTTAGACGATTAGACGATTGCTCGTTTTGTACGCTTTTTGTTTCATAAATATGATGCATAGATTTCAGGTGCATTTAAATTGTAGATATAAAGACATAAACATAATATAAAGCGTACATAAACAACTATCTTATATCTTCACATCGGGCTTACTCTGTTTTACAATATGTAATAAAAACATTATTAGAAGGTTCTTAAAATGTTTCAATAGCAATAGAATCATCCTGAAGTACAACTGTTTATTATGGTAAGTGATATTGGGATTTTTATTTAAAACGAGCAAAGAAGAATAAAAAATTACGATCTACGATTCCTTTCTGGACTTGTGTTCCTTTAATTAAGACTTCTTTCAATTTCTTGATATTATCATTGATGTTTATGTATTAAGATGATATACATTGTACTTATGTATAAGTGTAATAAATTGTCTGTTCTGTTCATGAATTAATGCTAACTATCGATGTCAATACCAGATATTTAATCAGAGACAAATGCAATTATTATACAGCAAATACGTATCATTATTCTATTCTGGTTAGTCAGGTTTACCTACCAAATGCTACGTAATATATATGATAATAATTATAACACAACGATTGAACCGAGCATATCTGTAAATACATAAATATTATTTTACATTTAGATAAAATACTTATTATATACGATTTTAAGAAACAATAAACACGCGATTAGGCAAAATTCATCTATAAGTGTACGTCAACGCAAACATTTTGCTTTCTGAGACAAAGTTTAATTTTATAAACATTAATAGTCTTAAATATTCAAGACTAATATACTCGTATATCAAATCAATTTCCTAGATTTGTATATGTATGTTGATGGCCATAACGAGCGCAGGTAACCAATAGTAATGTGGAAACAATGTAAATCAAACTGACAATATTGACACAAATGGTACAGGTTGACAATGGAAATACAATCATGGTTAAATTCGTTGGTTATTACGGATCGAAACTGGATTACAATAAAGGTATTTAAGGTATAAATGTGTGACTGTATAGTCTTAGTTAAATCTGATAATATTGTATTTACATTCCAAGTCGGTAATATTGATTTGTCGTCAACAATGATGTCAATTATGTTTGAGCAATTTGTTCTGGATTGAAGCAAATTAGTTTTTTAACTCCATTTTGATAGTTTTTAGCAATAGGAACAAAATATAATGAAACAAAAGTTTCTGTCGTTAAAACGTATTCAAAGTGTAACTAATGTATAATGTTATATTCATTTCTTTTATTTCACAGGTGTTAGGCTAACTGTTTCATGAACTTAAAAATTCATATAAATTGAATTAAGAGAAACTTCATTGAAAACTTTACATGATTAGTTATAATTAAGTCCGTAATGCCAGAATGTAATCAACTACTGGTGTCCTTGAAGAGTCTATATGAAAGAAAACCTTCACCATTCTCGTTTTTGTATTTGTGTGCGGCTTTAAGGGTAATATACATGATGATGAAATACGATATAATACGATAATGATATCAGTGTCTGGTTGTGTATATGTTACTTTGAACGAAGTATTTGATTTACGTTAGTCCGCTTAGTTCAACAGGGAGAGCACCGGATTTATGATCCACGGATCTCGGGTCCGATCCTTGGCCAAAGCGAAACTTTTTCGTGATAATTAATCCCTAGGAGGATCATGTGGAATACGTTGTCGGTCACTTGCGGAGAAAAAAGTAATTACTGGTAAATTATCCATAAAAAGCCAAAAAGGTGTTACATGTAGAATGACCAAAAAAATGTCAAAAGAAAGATGTACATAAACACCTTTCTTAAACGGACCATGACTTTTCAACGTTCTGGTAATAAGTGTTGTTGTTGTTGTTGTTGTTGTTGCTGATTCGACAAATGTAACAACAAAATTCTATTTGTAATGATCAATGTCCCTATAAGAAATATGGTACTGCTTTCTTACAATCTCAATATCCAGTCAAAGTAAGATTAGATGTAAATGTGTTCTAATTAAACAATATTGTACGTTTTGATGATCAAAACAAAATTTTATGCAGCACAGTATTGAGCTATAAATTGGTGTACACTAATTTTGCGTATAACCTACCTTTCAGTTTCATTTCTTTTGAGGAGGAAGTACTTTAATGTAATATTATTTGTAACATATTAGATAGGAAGAATAAACTTGTAACATATTGGAATTTTCGAAGATTTCCTATGGCATGACTTCTTGTCATTAAATGGATCGATATATCTCAGTATGTCTATATGTACAGTTGAGTTAATGGTTTCACAGACAGAGTGGGAAACATCACTCTTCTTTCTGTCATTATTCCTGCACACGTAGAGTGAATGATTTTGACTTTATTCCGGTCATTGATAAATCAAAACTTATACACATAGAAATAAATAAACATTATTTTTAGATTTAAACAATGATATGCAGATATTGGTTATTCTTTAACTAGGCAGCAGTTTTAATACAATCAATCATCTGTTTTGAAACAGTAATTACGTTCTTGAGTTAGTTTCGAAAAGAGCGTTCTGTTTCTTATAATTGCATAAATCAGATTTGTAAAAGACAATTGCGAGTATATATCTATCAGTTTCATATGAAATAGAAAACTTAGAACTAATGGAACATAATTGTTGACAAATGGTGCAAGGTGATAAAAATTGTTTAATTTGCATACAGATAAAATACGATGACAATTAATGTCTTCAGAATAGAGGAGATATTATTTTGATCATTTCATTGTCGTTTAGAAATTCATGTATATAAAATGTTAACAAGGTCTTGAGTACTTGCATTATGCATAACAATATCACGATTTGGGTTATTTGTGTTCAAAATGTGACATTTGAGTAAAACAAAAATCATACTATCAGACCAGTGCCAGCTGAGTAACAGACATTTTGAAAATCATTTCTTACTTATTTATAAAATATGTATTGATATAAAAATGTAAACATAATAAGTATTTGTGAGAAGCGAAAGTCTGTATTTTAAAACATTTTGTTTATTTCCTTGTACTTCATTGCTTGCATGCCAAAACATTTGTATTTACGTAAGAGAAAGTTACGTCTTTGTCTGAACATTTGTTATGATTGAGTAGATTTAAAATGAACGAAATAGACAGTAACATTATTCATTCAATTCTATTTGCATTTTGACGTAGTTGTGCTTGAAATTCTAAAGAAAAGTCAAATGGTACATTTCTTAAGAACGCGACAAGATTCTATAAATATGCATTCAGTTTATGTAATAGAGTCAGTGTGCCTGCTGTGCACGTGAAAAAATAATGTATTACGTAACTTATTGTTTAACGACTGAAACGCTGATGACCTATAAACATCATAAGATAGATGTTAAGATATAAGACCACTGAACTCGTAGAACTATGAAGCAACATTTTTATTCTGGTTGAAAGTTTAGTCAGGTTATAAGTAAATAAAACTTGTTTCAACACATGCAAATATTCAAACATACAAAGAATAATATTTTTGCATTTAATATTCATTTTCATCATGTACATACATGTAGTAGCAAGATATGTGTTTTAATAGTGGTTGAATGTGTAGTATATTTAAAGTGTTCTCAATGTGTCTACAAACTTAAATGGCCCATTTTTACTTTATTCTAGTTTTTAATAGATACTGAATGATTTAGTTGTATGTTTTATTGTGTATATTTATATCGACACCGTTATTTTTGCGCCATGTAGAAGGCGCATACGCTAATCATAACATTAGTTAGTATGAGAGAATGTCCTAATTCAAAAGGGTTAATACCACGTATCGCATTTCAATGAGAAGAATCATATTTTTAAATACGAAAATGTAAACTTTCATTAACTTTATAAAATGATTTGTCGGTGTATTTTATGAGAGAAAAAAAAGCATAACATTTATGTAGTAATTTTATTGTTCAATATCATGTTCAAGAAAGGTAAAGCACGGTATCAATAGATTAAATAATACATAATTAAAACATAATGTATTCTTTTATAATATTGTCATTTGCATAAAGAAGACAATATAGATCACTTGATATATCTTTAATGTCTTCAAACAAATTTTTTGTCATTTATTACTAAATTATTCAACGAAAATTAAAAGCAAATGTCGATTGTTTTGTTCATACTGGCCTAAGTAGCCTTAGTAGGTAGGTCATCGTATCTAGCTAGGTATGTTTGATCTTAAATTACTTCAAGTATGACAGAAAGTAATATTAAACCAATAGTAAATCTGTAATCAATAATCCTATAAACCTTAAGGCAAATTATATTCTGCTTTTATTTCTTGATAAATGAAAACATACGAATCAGTTTTGTTTTGCCTTAGAACATGAAATTAAATGTATTGTTTTTTAATTCTAATATAGCTAAATTGTAATATTCAATCTCAGATCAACTTTTGAAAAATAAATGGTAATAAACTGGTTTAAATGGAAACATAATTGATCAAATTCAAACCTAAAAATATTTAAACTTACTTCATGCTTACTTTCCATATAGATGACACTGCAGAAGAATATTAAGATAATTGCGCCATATACACATATATGAAACTTCATATAATATCTCAATGAGTTAAACATATAAAACAACCAGTTCTAGCATGGTGTTAATGGATAAGAAATGGCTTTTGCATACATGTATATAATAAATTACTACGACAAAAAAGATAAACCATTAGAAATGTATTCACAGACACAATTCAGTTAAAAACTTGCTTGCACTTGACTTTGATAACATATTCTACGTTTACATTCATTTCATCATCTTACCAGTTGAATGCAAATCATTTTATTATGTGATTTACATCATAATATATTGACAGATTATTTCTTAAACATAAGATGTACACATTTCATATTCCAGTTATCGCCAAATAATAAGAATATTGATTTATAATACGAATGTTTGAAACAAAGTGAAATAATGTATTTTTAAACGATAGTGTCCACTAAAGCAATCACCACACCGAAAACATTTGTTTAGTTTCAACAACTAAAGTTGTGAAAATAGCTTATAAAACATGATGATTGTTTTCTTTCAATCAAAATGAAAAATACACACTAAAATATAATGCCTCACATTTTCATAATTAAACAATTATAGTAAATAAATATTGGCCATAGAGACCTTTTATCTGTTTAGAAAAAAAGATATAAGTAAGATCCTGAATGAAGTAAACTGTAGTACTTGTTTAATATTTCTATAACGGCTTGTTTCTTTACAACAACATTAAACTATTAAAAATGAAACAACTATATCTTCAGTTAGGGAAATAGTCACGTTAAATATATATAGTAAATATCATACCAACATGAATAAACGTGAAATAAAAAGATGCAAGAAATCAAAAAATTAACATATACATAATCAATAAATGTTCAATTTTTCTGCAGTTATTAAGTTTACTTATATACAACTAACATGATTAAAAAGAACAAAGTTAAACAATCTAGCAATGATAACACCATAATATATCGATTTAACAATACATATAGTTCAACAGTGACATAATATCTATAAACAAAATATATTACAACAATTTATTTGTCCTTGTAATAGTCTGAATGCACAAACATGCAGTGTTTCTACCTAATTAATCACACTGTACAAACTTAGATTTATTGCAGGCAGCTCAACTCGTCTGTTTCACACAAGAGTAATTAAACTACCAGTCTATTTACCCCTTATATTATGATATATTTGGTATACCACTTTGTCATATATCTGGTCTACCTCTGATATATCTGGTATACCTCTGAAATATCTGGTATATCTCAGTACAAGTATTGTGGTCTTGCTGGACTGTCTATCCAATCACAATGGTCGTGTAAACTGATTGGTTTACCTGCCGGAAATAACTTTACCATCTCGTCAATGTGACCGCCAACAGTTGGCTCCTCCCCACCTAAAATCATTAAAAATAACACTCAACAATTAAAAATATTTCTTTGGCATAATGTTTCATGTGAAATAAAGGAGATACAAAGTATTTTCTATATTTAAAGTTCAAACTGAATAAATGACATATTTTTCATTGTTTGCCCATTCAAAATAGTACAAATATTAGTAATAATTAGTGTTTTCTGTCATGCTTACGAATATAGTGTATGTAACAAGTGGGACACTTTGCTATACAACTAACACTAATAAAACAACAAACACTTCAGACAAATTCATAAAATGGTGTACAATCTATAAAAAAAAATTGTATGTTATATTTGATGGGAATAAAAGTATGAAATATCTTTGTTTGTTATATTTAGTTAGAATAAAAATGTATGCATAAAACTTAATAATTATCTTGAATTTAATAACCTGCCACCAAATATTTTTTTAAATATTTGTAGTTGTTTTAATAGGAACAGTATAATTTATTTAAAGAATTGAATAACCTTTATCCATTCAAATAAACATATAAAGGATGAAGTTATTTGTAAGTAGTAACATAAATCATTTAACTTACTATTTAATCTAGACATTTCATACTGGTAATGTGGGTCCTCGACAAGTTTTGTTATATTAAAACACACAATGCCATCAGACGAACGATCTCTGAATCCTGGGGCTCTATAATATTAGTATAAAATCACATCCAATTCTAACAGACTATGTTTAACTTAAGTGTATTGTTATCCAATATTGCCTTATATGTACCCATATATTTTCTCTGTTCTGTTACTGGAAACGTAATATAGTAAAACATATTTTTTTATTCTAAAGAAACAAATACTACGTGTAAAAAGTGAATAACGGAATTGCTCGTTTGTATCTGTCTATAATAAACTAATAATATGCATACAATATATTCCTGCAGTAAATCGAGAGTTCCTAATATTATTTTATATTAGATTTAACTGTTCATAATCAAACAGCAATAATAGCATCACATACACAAAATACCTGCAGCCAATGAAAATGGTTTTTTATGCGTTCAAAAGATTAACGTGGTCAAAATTACCTGAAAACATAAAGATCGCCGTCTCTAACGCTACAATCAAATCTTGTTTTATTTCCGTCCATCAAAGTTATAGTAAATGTCTTTTTAGCAAAGGCTACATATTTTGCACTTCTGTAGGTGAAATTCCATGACCGAATCATTTCGTCTGGAAAAACGCATCTTGGTTCTATCAAGAAACGAGACATACTGATATATTATCAAAACGTCCATAAAAATGTTACAGTGATATGACTATACCTCCCGTTGATACTATCAAAATATAAAATAACTAATCGCAAAATGATAAAGATAATGTTGTAATATTTTAGAAATCCAAAACAATAACTGATTATTTGTTTCTATTTATCAAGGACAATGTTACAGTTAAAAAAATGAAATTGCTATTGTTTGTTGGTTGGCGTCAATTGTTTTTGTTAACATTGTTGTTATTGTTGCTTTTATTATTATGATTTATTATTATTATTATTATTATTATTATTATTATTATTATTATTCAGACAAAATCGGAGGCAGTACACGGAAATTTATTAATATAATGAGTTAAAGAAGTGAGAAGACTTGAATTATTAATTTCAAGTAGATTGTACTATAAAATGTGATGAGAAAATATTCATTTTCAATACATAAGATACTCTGCATAAATTAAACAAAACGACAAGTAGCAAACCTGTCTGTCTGATAAGTGCTGTTATATTCCGCTGATCACTACTTAGAACACAGGTTTCATTGAGCGTAGGGAACGTTAGCGCCTCTTTTGAAAGTGTCTGGGGACTGAGCAATGTGTTTTCATTCGGGTTTCGAGCTGAAAAGAAAAAAAACACATGAGCTGTGTTATAGATGACCATTATACATTCTAAGAAACCAATAGTGCCTTTCTAACATATGCAAACATATACTAAATATTAGTGAATTATAAAATGTATTGAATTCAGCAAAAAAAGTTTTAAAGAATGGAATTAGCATAAAGCGTTTAAGATGAAGGTAAATGATTCTACTGTCTCTTCATTGCGGTCAAAAAGCCTAAAACATACAATTTAGAATTCTTACACCTCATATTTCAAAACATAGGAAAAATATATATAGAAATGGTATACAAACATAGCATTAACAATATTTTTAGATTCGTGATAAGAGCACACAATGTATAAATAAGCCTTAGTGAAATGATTTATGATTGCATTAACAAGTCTTTAATTATATGAGAGCATCATGTATTAACATACCATTTAAACGAACAACACTGTATTCTGCAACATTTCTGTTACCCATCTGAGCAAATCCAAGACAAAGCACACCTTTTGTTTTACTCTTCGAGTCCGTCGTCCTGAAATAGATTGTATGACATTTTGCAAAATCTGTTTGCTGCCAACAAACTTAGATTACCCAAGAAATTGACAAAATCTAAAAAGGTAAGGGACATATTTTGTTTAACGAATACAGTTAGTTGACATGTTCTTGTCAATGTTTAACATTCTACTAAAATACCCCTCGCAAAGTTGTTGTGTTAATTTAACATAGACCAATGAGTGTCATACTTACTGTAAATGTAAGTGTACCACGTAAGCATGTGTACCACGTGACTAAATAGTTTATACTGTATAAATAGGTAAAAGATATTTTTAACAGTTAAATCTAGTCTAGTCACGTAGTACATTTCCAAGAATGACTAATGACCGTCAGAGATTTTAGTTGTTTATATTTCGCGTCTAAAACATCCATTGGCTGAAAAGTGAATGTAAACATCCGGGTCAGACATCAGGTTACAAAATTGCAAAATCATTATTTGTCACGTATGAGGGTGATATTTATCAGGCACTTGAATAGAACAAAGTAGGATTCCTAAAGTATTTTATCAGTGAAGTTGGTTGTAAAAGTATTAAATGTGTTGTAAACAAATCTAAATACTTTTCAGAAGAAGGATATCGTGGTTGCGCATTGTGAAAAATTGAGACATGAGGGAATTTCTGGAACCCCAGCTCTTGGCCGGTATATATGAGTTTGTGTTTTTTATTTTTTTTTTTTTTTGCATCTGAGTAATGGAGGAAAGCAGCTTCAAGACAGAATGTCCAGAAAAAGCACTGAGGCGTGAGGTCCGTTTGCTT